AGGGCAGCAATACAGATGTGTTCACATCAAGCTGTCAGAAAACAAAAACACCCTGCCTTAGGATGAGAGGCAAGGGTGATGTCCCAAATCACTAGTGATCCAGGTAAGCACATTTTGTGCTGGAAAAAAAGAAGGCCAAATTTCTGGAACAAAAGTAACTTATTTCAGACTATTTTCTTCTTAAATTGTAAAAATAAAAATGGTGAAATGAATTCCAGAGCCAACAGAAAAATCCAAAACCTAAGCTAAAAGGCATTTTTTTTATTAGGACTGATTTTTATCAGATGAGACATATGATGGTATTTGTTAAGGGAATAAACTATCTAGCCCTTTCTCAAATATCAATCCTATTGTTCAGTGAAATATTCAACTGGTGGTCATTGGTAATATTTTCCAGAAATAACCTATGTTTTTTGTACTGCCATATAGCAAATATATCCTAACAGCACATCATAAACTAAAGTCATAATGTGAAAACTTGAAGATGGCTGGATGATCATAATCCTGCATACTCAAGAGTGTTACGATTTGCTTTCTGTATGCATATATATGTATGTGAGTGTGTTTGTGAATGCCTATAATATATTATCATAGAGGCTTCAATAGTCAGAGCAATATAGAGGAAAGTTGCACATGTAGATGTGGAAAAAAAGATTAAGAGCAATACAAGAAGAAAATGCTTTGAAGCCTTGACCTGCCTCTAAATTACAACTGTCCTCAAATAATGCTGTTTCCAATGGCTCAAATTGTAAGTGGTCCAAATACTGGTGAAGCAATAGCCAAATTATAGTAATTGCCACCACGGCAACCAGATTTTACTGAGATCGCACACCCAAATAAATGCCTCGTGGCTACCCATTCATCTAGCAGCTGGAAAGATGACACTTGACATTTGGAAACTTTCCTGTGAAGATTGCTGCAAGGCTTTTCCCATTAGCTTCATGGTGAGATGGTAAGGTCGAATAAGCTCCCTCAAAGCCTGCAAAGGGTAACAGAAACACTCTAATATTAAGCCTGCTTGATCTAAAATTCCAAGTGACAAGCTATGAATTGTCGGATTTCCTCCAGTGCTTCTAGTATATTCCAATTTCAGTGGAACCATGTGCTTTATTGTGCGGATCCAGGTCCAGCAAAGCATTTATCAAAGAAAAAGTGGTGTACTTAGAATCAAGTGGCTGATTCATCCCACATTTAGCAGAGGCATCTGCTATATGTTTGCCAGGGTAGCCACCATCAAATGTGAAGATGTGTCCCAAGCAAGTTCTATAAGTCAGATATGCAATTCTGTCACTCGTCCTGCAAAATACTTCAAAAAGAGACTGCAGCACATGGAAAAACTAATCTCCTCGGAGTAAGATTTGGGTAAGAGAATGAAATATTCAACATAAAAGTAAGGTTTGCTTGAGTAGCTTCAGTCTTTGTGGTTACAATGGCTGACTCCAGACTTTGCAATTATCATAATGTGTGGGGAACTGTTTAGTATTCCTCTTAAACAGGCTTACTGGGATCAATTCCAGCTTCTGAGTGCTGACTGACGATGTAGATCCTATGTTTGAAACTTTTCCTCCTATGAAGTCAGTGGGATGAGGTTAGGGAGATACTGGGCAGAATCCTGTATTTGGATATATATTTAAAGATGCTTGATACATTCAGTTCAAGGTTGCTGAAACGAAGTTCAAATGCAGCACTATTGTGCCAGTCTCAGAGAGTATCACAGAAGACTTACTGGTGTCTCATATCTACTAAGCTGAATGAAGTGGTTCCATTTGTAGATGATGACATTTGGAGTTACAGTCAGCTGAAGAAATGCCTTGGTGTTATTATTAGCTGACGAGGGCAAGTAAACCAAAGCTGAACCTAGCCAGTCCAGACATCCTGTAGGCTGGTGCCTACTCATGTTTTGGAATTTAGTTAAACAATCTACCCATTTGGGAGTTGTATTCATCCTCAACAAACAGGTCCACAGCATGTAAATCATCTGTCCAATTCTGTCTCTGCAGGCTAGCTGAATGTCACATCTGTGAGTGCTTGTGGCCAGCTTCATTAGGCCTGCCAACTGCAACCTTACAATCTATCATTCACTGGTATCTTTTCAATGAGGTATTGCAATATTCTTTGCATAGGACTGTTTCTTTAGAAGACATGGAGCTTGCTGCTAGATTATGGTAGCAGCCATTGTAACATTTCCTTGGCACCATCAAATAGAAGAAAGTAGGAAGATGGAAAGGATGCAATTCGTCATTATTTTTCTTATCAAATGAAGTTAATAAGTAATTTTCATGTTTTTCCACTATTTGCAACTAAAGATGTAGGACCACATCACATTGAGAGGGGAAAGCATGGGTGACCATCCCTTTAAGAGTAGAAAATTGCCTCCAATCCCATTTTGGGTTCTGCCTGACAATCACACACTAGTCTCTTCCATACAGGTACATAAAATCCACATTGAACTGGATTAAATGGCAGTGTGGACTCAGATAATCCAGTTCAAAGAAGAGATTGTGGATTATCTGCCTTGATATTCTGGGGACCTTTTCACACAGCCCTATATCCCAGAATATCAAGGCATCAAATCCCACATTATCTGAATATGGACTCAGATAACCCAGTTCAAAGTAGATATTGAGGGATTTTCTGCCTTGATATTCTGGGATATAGGGCTGTGTGGAAGGGCCCTGTGCTGTATAGCTACGTGGAAGGGCCCTCACACTCAAATGTGAAAACTTAAGTGCAGGTAATACATTCATCTTATATTCATCACAAGGTCAGTATTACCTTTCTTTTTTAATCAGGAGAAACAACAATATCTGAAAACCAAGAGATTCCTTGCCCTGCCCAAAGCTCCCTACATTAAAAAAGCCTGATACCAGTTTAAAACCATGACTTACAAATGGAAAAAAAATGCTCTACCCCAAACCCCAAAAAGCCAGTGTTCCGGGTTAAAACCATGGCTTTCCATGGAGCTGGAAGTGGTGACGGCTGACAGGGAGCTCTGGCGTGGGCTGGTTCACGCGATCACAAAGAGTCAGAAGTGACTGAATGAACAAATAACAACAAACCATTACTCTGAGTGTGCTTTTAAGGTCTCTATCCTGCTGGAAGATGAATTTCTGCCTCATTCCTTGGTCCCTTGTAGTCTGAAATAGGTTAGATCCATCTTTCCTTCAATCCTGACCAATTTCCCAGTTCTGCCAGTGAAAAGCAATTCCACATGATGCTGCTACCAACATGCTTCACCATGAGAATTGTGTTTTCAGTCAGTGGGTGTGCCTGGCTTTGTACCATATATAACATCTTATGACAGAACCAAGAATGTACATTTTTGGCCATATCAGACCAAAGAACATTTTGCTACAAGATTGCTGTGCCTCCAAAAGCACCTTTTGAAAACTTCAAATGGGTTTTAATATGAATCTCTTTCAGGTTTTCTTCTTGCCACTTTTTCATTAACCATTTGCTACAGATAGAGTTATGGTTAAGTCATTTCTGGGGTTAAATATAATTGCTTTTCATTTGGAACAGTTAATATGATTTCAGGACCACTTTTTAGACCTGTACCGAGTAGAAGAAAAAGTAAGCATGCTTTTCTCTTCCAATCATTAATATTGTGCTCACAATATCCTAATAGCCTTTTTCTGTGTTGTTCCTTTTTCACTTACATAGTAGAAAGCGTAAGATTAAACAACCTTCCTTCCTTCTTTTTGTATCAATGGCCTTCTTTTTATGATAACTTTCCACCAACAGACTTATGACTTGTTCATCACCACAGGACATATTATTCAAGGTAGCAAAACATGCACAGAGCAAGCCATACAAGCCTCTCAGCGCCAGCCAAGAAATTGTTCCTTCACTGACATGAGCATGTTCCTTATACATTTTTTATTTGTATTACATTTCTACACGAGGGTCCATCAGGAAGAACCCTCTTGTGTTATTCCTGGGGTCTCTTGTCTGACTCCTTCTTTTATCTACAGATAGCCTGTTTTCTTTGCTCTGGTGCCCTTGTTTTCCCATTTATATTTTAGAAAGTGCTGGCATGGTCACAGCCCCCACAAAATAATTTCTGCCTCCGGTGACAAATGTTTAAAGTATTCTTTTTAAAAAGAACAAATATTCCATGCTGTTCAGTGCTGTGCTCTGTTTTTAATATTTATTAGGTGTTTTCTTCCAATTACCTATCTGAGGTGTATTATGCAGTGCATTATGCATTAAGTTGTGTCCCCTTTGGGTAGAAATTAGAATTTATGAGTAAAAGTTGTTTTTATTGGTTTACAGAAAAAAAGACTACATTCAAACCACCAAATATATAAAGACACATAGCATCTATTTTAAACTTAGCAATAACTTGATCCCCCTGTAGTAATAATAATAATAATAATAATAATAATAATAATAATAATAAGTGGTAGTAGTAGTAGTAGTTTCTTTTTATACCCCAACTCCATCTCCCCGAAGGGACTCGGGGCGTCTTACAAAGGGACAAGCCCAGAGAGCACAGAGTTAAAAGCATAACGCAACAAGATAAAATCAAAACAAAACCAAATAAAAACATAACATCATAAAAACAATACCATGCAGAGCAATAAAAGTGCTGAGTTCAGAGGGCTCTGAGTTTGTGCAAAATTTCTAGATAGAGCGAAGGGAAAGTGCAAAATTCAGTAAGGCAGGGCTGGGAAGATAACGTCCTTGGGAATTAAAATGTCAGGATTGTAGAGCGGAGGGCCATGCTAGAGTGCCGGAACTTAGGGAACATTGGGCCAATTCTTTGGAATGCCTAGTCAAAGTTTAGTTTTACTAGGCAGTTCCTAGTTTTTAATAGTCTTTCTCTGGCCATTAAAATCCTAAATACTCTGCTGTCAGGCCTTATTCACCTTTCTAAACATAGGATCCTCTTATGTTTGCACTGTTCTTTGATTACAGTGAGGTTATTCACGAAGGATTATCCTGGCAAGTGAAGTAAATCAAGGTGAAGTCAGAAAAAACTATTTTGAAAAACTAACCTGTATGTATTTGTGCATGTACCAGGAAGCTTGTTTTCCATCATTCACTGATTCTACTGTGGTGTTGGCAAGTCCACTAATGTCACCTCCTGCAAAAATCCACGGCTCACTTGTTTGCATGGTCTCTGGATCAACTTCAGGAAGACCCCATTTGTTAAACTTGAGTGGAGTCAGAGCTTCTTTTACTGTATTGAAAGACAAGAAGCATGTAGTGGGTGAAAATTAGGATAAAGCAGAAGACAGATTAGCAGCTGGTTACTGAAACAGCACTTGAAGCAAAGCTAGGCACTTGCAGGACTGAGCTGCAAATTTCCAGTTTTAGATAATTAGTTTTAGATAATTAAGTATTTTACCATGATGGTGTATTTATTTTTTAAATAATTTTGTACTATATATTCTTTTAATTGTATTTTGTTTGAATTTCATACTGTGAACCATCTTGGGTCCCAGGTAAATAAATAAGGAGGCAATTGCCACTTAGGGTGAATACACTGTAGATTTAATGCAGTTTGACACCACTTTAACTACCATAGCTCAATGTTATGGAGTTGTGGGATTTGGTGGGGCACCAGTCCTCCTTGGTAGAGAGGCTAAAGACATTGTAAAACAACAACACCCATGATTCCATATCACTGAACTATAGCAGTAAAAGTGGTGTCAAACTGCATTCATTTTATAGCATAGAATGAAGTCAGACTTGGCCACGGTAATCCACGTTCTTGTTACATCCTGAATAGATTATTACAACATACTCTACATGGGGTTGCCTTTGAAGACTGTTCGGAAGCTTCAAGTAGCCCATATTGGCGTACAGCAGTGGTTTCCAACCTGTGGTCCCTGGAGCACCAGTGGTCGCAAGAACTAAAATATGGTCTGCAGCCTCACCATTACTACACCATTGCAATGAGAATGACTGGTCTCACAAAACCCTCTTATAGTGCCAAGACTTATTAAATATGGTTTTCTGTGGGCGAGCAGATGGCAACTATCAGATATATTCTGTATCACAAACTAGGGCTGATGTGGTCCAATGCAATTTTCTGAATCAGCACCCCAAATAACCAAACCGAATTTAAAGTTGACCAAAAACTGATTTGTAACCCTTCTGGTACTAATGTTGAAGAGTGGTCCCTGGTCAAAGTGGTCCCTGGTCAAAAAAAGGTTGGAACCACTGGCGTACACGGAGCACACAACTCCCGTTACCTCAGCTCCACTGACTGCCACCAAGTACAATTCTAAGTGCTGGCTTTAGCCTATAAAGCCATAAACATTTCAGGCCCAGCTTATCTGTCTAAACCTATCTCCTCCTATGAACCATCTCAGAGATTAAGATCATCTGAGGAAGCCCTGCTCTTGGTCCCACCTATGTAGAGAAAGTACTAAAGGGATGGTCTAGAGACAAATGAGTCTTGTTTAAGAAAGGAAATAGAGGCGAAAATAAAAATAAAGAAGTATTTCTTTACTTGTGAAGTCAAATTGAGTTTGACCTTTCCTTATGATGCTTCATCAAAAATGATAGCATATTCATCCCTCAGATCTTACCTGTTGACCACTACAACAATGGTCACGGGTTTTATGCAAAGTTTTTTTCCTCTTTGCTGCCTTGATCACTGATTTAGGAGTATGCAGACATTTGAAGCATAAATACTGTGTCTGCCAGAGGACCAAAATCCATAATACAGATATTAAATGGCCCAGAGGACTACATTTCCCAATGTCCTAATTTACTGCAAAATCAGTACTTTAGCTGCTTGTGGAGAGGTGTCATAAAGCCATCCTGCACAGCATTCTAATTATCAAGAAATGAAGGGTGGCATAGGACTTGGATGCCACGGCCATTGGGAGACTTGCAGTATTGCTACAGTTGGGACTAGGAATACAATACTTTGAATATCGAAAGAGGGCTCAAGGAAAAAACAGTCCTGCAGTTCAGGTTCCAGGTTCTAGTTTATGGTGATGACATTTGGGACAATAACTCAGAGACAGAACCTGAAAGTAATGCTATATAAGGAATATCACAGTTTCTAATGAAGATTTGTGCTGAGCCCCATTTCTCTACCTCTTGGTCAGTTGTGGATGTCACACTGACATGAACATAGGGAGAAAGTGTTTTGTATCACAAGCTAGAGTCTTATAGGAGTAGAGTCTTTTTATCTCTTACAATTAATTATTCTGATTGTTTTTAAGAACAAAGAGAGTTAAAATTTAACTTTTTGGAATACTATGGAAAATGAGTGAAATAAATTAATTTTAAAAAGTAATTTTCCAAAATCAAGGTTGAGAAGACACTCTTTGGTCTCAGATATTACAGTGATTTGAGCCCAATATACACATGATGGATATTGTAAACATAAAATGAGACACAATTCTTTCCAAAGTTTCGAGAACACAAAACAGCACACCTCTGTGTCAGATCTTATCTTTCTCTCAGGCTTTGAGATGCCCCATTACAATACTTGTAGGGAAGAATATACATTTCTTTCTCCCCAAAAATATTAGTATCTTTTTATAGCAACTTTAGCATGAAGTGAATTGTCACAACAATCACTTTCTTCAACACATAATGTAGACTGTGACTTAGTTCTCACAAATAACAGAAGAGGTGCTAAACCTATATTCAGACTGTTGCAGTTCAAACTGCAGGTAAGGGGATAACATGATAGAATGCTGTTCTGTACAGAAACATCCCTGAAATACATAAAAACCTACCTTGATTAAAACTGTGCAAAATATGTACATTATGCTCGGCTACTGGTTGGTGTATGATGAATAATGTTTTTAATTATGTTTTTATGATGCTGTATGTGTATTTTATTGTGTTATCTTTTAACTCTATCTGGTTAGGCCTGGTCCCGATGTAAGCCACCCCATGTCCCTCTGAGGAGATGGTGAAGGGATACAAAAAATAAAGTTGTTGATATTATTATCATTATTATTTACATTAAGAACAACATGTATCAAAATTAATATCTATGCATGAAGGAGAGATCTTGCAATGTGACAAGATCTTAGACAGGATAAGAATGCTGGTAGCTTTGTAATAAATGCAATAGAAACAAAGCTGATTGAGTTTCATATTATCAGGCTAACTGTAACAGAGTAGGGGAAAAATCTAGATCTGATTGAGAGGTTGGCTTCAGATTCTACCGCTGTTAGCCCCAGCTTCTGCCAATCTAGCAGTCTGAAAACATGCAAATGTAGATCAATTGGTACCTCTCCAGTGGGAAGGTAACGGCACTCCATGCAGTCATGCTAACCACATGACCTTAGAGGTGTTTACGGACAATGCCGGCTCTTCAGCTTAGAAATGGAGATGAGCACCAACTCTCAGAGTTGGGCATGATTAGACTTAATGTCAGGGGGAAACCTTTAGCTTTACCTAAACTTGTTTTTTAATTGAAATGTTTATTTAATTGTATATTGTTTTAAGGCACTAAATTATTGACTATGCTGTAAGTCACCTTGAGTCCCCTTTGGGGTCAAGAAAGGCGGGATATAAATATAGTAAATAAATTTTTCAGAGGGAATAGTAATGATAAAGAGGTGAATAGAGAGAAAGAGAGAGAGAAAACATTGCCTCCTTCATCTCCTTAGAGAAAGAGTGGCTTATTTGCAATGACCAAACAAGCACTAAAAACTAAGAAACAGAATCAGTAAACAATAAGACTTAGATATAAAGATAGGCAATAAGACTAAAGATTATTCATTTGTTCTCTATGGAAAAATAACCTTAATGTCAAAATAATATCATTTACTTTCTTATGGCTATACATTCAGAATAACATGTTCTTTTTTGTTTCAAATCGCAGGTCCCTTGTATTGTCCCATTATAATGAAAGCAATGGAAGGGGGGTTGCTTTCACATGTCTTGGTACCTTATATCAAAATGAATGATATCTATAGGTATTACTGCATCATAGCACCCAGGTTCTCACCCTCTTGCTAAGTTTTTTTTTTTTTTGGTAGCATCGCTTGGGGACATAGCACACACAGATGCAGATTGCTAAGGTCAATTAAACTGATGTAGCTGTGCTGTCATATATGTAAAAGAGAAACCTGCTAGCGTATTTCTCAGTTGTCACAAAACAGTGTCAAAGATGAGTTCTGCATTTTTTTAAAAAAAGAGATGAGCACAGGCAGCTGTGTTTTGCCTTGGGAAACCCTCAGCAAAGGCAAAACTATAATTATAGGAAGGAATTGGATTTTCATAATTTCCCAATATCCATTTTCACATCAATGGGTGAAAAAATAGAATGGGTTTTTATTTTTTGTAGTAGCAGAAGGTCAGACAAGTGAATTGAGGGAGTTTCACGTAACAATTTAATGCAAAATTGGGGGCGATGGAAACTTTTGGGGGTGATGGGAACTAAGAACGGTGAGTGAGCCTATTCTAGTCACAATACTGATTCATAATGTTATTCACTGCCAAGGGGTTTTGTAGTTGTATTGCTGACCAAAGGCTCTTTATGGGCTCATCTACATGCCCTTGAAAATCTGAGGCCAGACTGGAGTATTTCTACTCCAGAACAGTTCTGGATTCTAGGAACTGTTTACATCCCCTCTCCCTGCCAATATGGCAGCAGAAGTCCAGACTGTCCAGTCAAGACTCAGTTCAGTCAAGACTCAGTTCAGTCCCACTGGACAGTCACTCTTACTGGGCAATCCTTTGTCACTGTAGCATCCCTCTTTCTTTTCCCTGGTCATGTGGGTGCCTTTGTTTATGGCAGCAAAGTTTCCCAGCAATACCTAGAAGCTTTCCAGTGCTCTGTGGTCAGCTGCCATGGTGGCAAAGAGCCCAAGTAAGTTCCAGCCCTCTTCCACTGCATCACAGAGTGCAGGGAAAAGTGGGTGACTGCACTGGTCTGTATAGACAGTGGACCAGTTCTAATTAAAACTGGCTCAGCTATCCACCCACCCTGGGATGCAGAGCTTAGCTACTGTATACCCAAGACCAAAGACTAGAGACCTCGGTACACTCCTTCCAGCCCCGTAGCCAGGATTTTGATTCGGGGGGGGGGGGCTGGTTTGATTCGGGGAGGCTGAGTCTGAGTGAAAGAGGGTCTACCCTAGCAAACCTTTTGTATTGTTACCCCAATACCTCCATGCATATGGGATATATTGAGTATGGTGATCAGATCATGATATGAATAAACATAAAGTTTAAATAATGCACCAGTAATGCCTT